TTATGTTCACAAGGAACGTATTCAATGAGATTCGAAGAATGATATGCTGTCGGTTTTTAGTCATCGGTTGGTGTTCATACACATGCAAAATCTGAGCCATTTCGATGAACCCACTACTCACTCTATTATTTTTTGTTTTGCTTGATCGACTAAGTGTGTGGCTTTTTGCTAGTGATAATAGGGAATTACCGCATAAAGTACGCTTCTCGGGGATTCGTATCAAAATTCTGCTAGCCACGCCGATTAGTTCCTAATCTAGTGGTGCCTGGAAAGAAAGAAAAATCTAGGATTTTTATAATCGCTTTAGACTCTACTGATTAAAATACTGATTTCTTCAGTATCTCAGAGCTTTTCATTATTGAAAATCGTATTAACTAAAGTGACTGATACATAAACCTCAGAGTAACTGCTTCTCATCATTTATACATTCATTCTCAGGGAATTTCAGTTGTCAGTTGCAATTCAGCCTAGTTTTTCAATCGTTTGTTTAGTTCAGAGCAATAGGCCTCTCTTTCCGCGTTACATAATTGTGAAGAAATCAAAAAATTTACTGCATGTAACTTGTATCTAATTCTCAATCACTCATATAATGAAACGGGGAGCCGTGGGCAAGTGGTTGTGTTGCTCGTCGTCGTAGCATGACGCGGAGTTCATCACCCGCAGCCAACACTCTCCAGCAATCAACGCAGTCCACACGAACGCCTTGTTGACGGGACAGCCAGGCTATTCTCGAGATTGCAAAGAGACCTGCTCAACCAGTAACCTACGACATTCAAGAAGAAGACGAAAAACCAGTTCAATGCTAGAAGTACTAAACTAAGTGTTTTCATCTTCGCAGAGTGGAGTTTGGTGATGCCTATTCTCCTATCCAAAGGAATGGAGGACTATGACCGTGGAATTCACTAGAATCAAAGTGACAATCAATCCAGTGTGGACTACAGAACGCCTTCATTGCATTAGAAGCATAAGCTTCTATGTATGGAAGAATTTGATAATCAGTTTTATTCCTTGAATATTTGGGCTTTAGTTAAGCTCAAAATTTGCCATAAGTCAGGCTTATTCACCTTCAAAGACTCATAGATCAACTATTTACGTGGATTCAAGACTGAACTTGTTTTCGAGGAAGCGAAGCATGAATCTCCAGTCTTCACGTGGTTATCATTCTGAGCGAAAACATCTCACAGATTTCACTGAGTCTACCAGCGAAGCGGTCGGTCAGTCGATTATATGTCCTTCTGAGAAAAAGTCCAGTTTTACTCAATGCAACAAGAAGGTGGCAATTCTGAAGTAGGAGAGGTCACTATGGGTCTTCACACTGTTGTTCCTCTTCCTTCCTGCCCACATCTAAATCAGGTACTTCTTCGAAACCTTTTTTTCGCTTCCACAAGTGCGACTTATGTATCATGCAAACCATAATATGAGCTAAGTGTTCTTGCTGTTGAAGTAATTGCGCACATTCAGTCTAACCGTTGTAATCATTCCATGACGTGAATCTACCGTAAGCCTTTTTGCTTCAATCTTGACTGCTGCAACGACCAAACAATCGCTATGTGATAATGAAAGATATGCTCGTTTTAGAAAAATGCTTGTGATTTTTGGTTTTCCAGTCGTTTGGATTTATTTCTGAGTACTCCTGAGTTATTTCCATGATACACACAGAATACCTGAAAATCATTTCAGACGAGTGATGTACCTGTAACTGGAATAGACGCAAATTCCGTATGCGATATATGTAATATCGCAGCAGAACCGTGGGTTTGTCTTACATGCTACAAGGTGAGCACCAACTAAACGTCAATTTTTGAATACGATTTCTCAGTTGTTGTTAGCTTACAAATATTCCGGTATTTGGGACAATTTTTTATTCGTGTCTGTCATCAAGTACTGGCTCTTTTCAATCTGGTGCTGTTACGAAGTCCGATAATGAAGCTCAATGTGTAGAATAATCTCAGTGAGACTGATCACTAAATTTTTGTTACACTCTGATAACTACATTTCTCTCAGCTCTAAATCAAGCTCAAAACTGGACAGGGTTTTTAATAGTTTAGACGATGTGGACCATTGAAGGGATGTGTGGCATGGAAAGAAGAAGCATTGCAGCATCTATAACGTTTCTATATAGGTTGTTTCCTGTCCGATGATCCATTTTGGCCCATAAAACTTCTATGTATCTATTAGGTTGAGAGAAAAATACCCTAACACCCTCTGAAAAAATCAAAGTTTATACATAAATTCAATTGAAAACATCAATAATTATTCTTCAAAATAAAGACCATCATTGTCCATGATCTTCTGCAACGATCTGCAAACTTCCGGATCTACTCGAAATTGCTATTCTTTGTGCTTTGAATCAAAAAACTCCTGAATTGCTCCTCAACTTCATCAAATATCATGGGTCGGCGTCCGCGCAAAAAATGTTCCATTATGTGGAAAAGATCTTGAATTGAACGGCGCAGCAGCCGAGCTAAAAGCTGAGTGCGGCAAGACTCGACTCCCTCCAATTCATCAAACTTTTCCATAGCCTTCTTTGCGGTGTGTAATATGGCATTGTCTTGCCGAAACAACGCGCGCTTTCAACGAATTAATGTCGGGTATTTTTCCTTCAACTCATTGCAGATTCGGTCCAGCTGTTCCTGCTAGAGTTCGGCTCTGATGGCTCGAGCATTCGGAACTAGTTCGAGATGCAAGAAACCTTCAAAATTCCACCAATTACAAATCATAACCTACAAAGCCTTAGTTCAGTTCAAAAGGCTGGCGACTGCTTGCGGTCGCTGGGGAAGGGCCCAACACGAGGAAAAGAGCCCTAGTCAGAGTCAACCCACGCACTCTCTATTATCTCCATGGGTGAAAAAGTAGGATGACGAGACGAATGATGATACTGGTTATTCGCAACCAAGTCCTTACATCGTTAGGGTCATATCTCTTCTACATATATCTGTTAACTCTTGGGTTGTCAGATGGTTTTTTTTATTGAAGACGATATACAGCCATCAAAAACTGATATCGTAATGAACATATTGAACCTTGAAAAGCAATATATCTTCGTGTTAGTTTCAGGTGCATTGTGGACGTTATGTGTACGGCCATGCGCTCATGCATTATGCGGCAGAACCAACTCATGCGATGTCGCTTTCACTTGCTGATCTCTCAGTTTGGTGCTACCCTTGTGAAGCCTATGTTCACAACGAGAGACTTGTGCCGGCCAAATCTGCAGCACATCAGAGTAGATTTGGAGAGACTGCTTCGCAATGAAACTGTTCTTAACGTTCTTTTTGTTATTATTAATAGCGACCACCTCTTGAGTGCTTAAGTCTTCGAATGAGTAAATTTCCCAACTGTGTTGATAGGCACGATTTATCATAGATTATCTATCGTATTGTCAGAAAAAACGATGCCATTGAGTTGTTCTCCACCGACGGTACAGTACAACTTGGTCATCACTTTTTGTGAGCTTCACAGTAATCTAGGAAAACCTCCAACTCACCACGAAATATTGCAGCTGTGTCGGCGGAAATTGAAATCGCCAGGTAAAGCAATCAATTTCCATCGCTCTGTAGACGCATTTTGTGATGAATCACCACTGTTTACATTACTGATGATTGTTTACATTTCTGATGATTATCCTTTCAAGGACTTTGTGATGCTGAATTGCTAGTATTATAACACCTGATGCAAAATCGTTTCGGGTTAGTCAAACGAAATTCATAGCGAGAAATTGATACGAGTTTGCTTCATTAGCTCATACTGGTACATACTTCAGCGTGCCTATCAAAGATCAAAATATCACGGCATGAGGTGGAGAAGTGTTCCCGGACACAGGGGTCACCGATCAAGTCTATGCTTCCAAAAAGAGTTCAAAGGTCGCAAAACTCAGCTGCATAGTGAACGTTCGTCATTTGAAAGACATCTCAAAGTAACGAAATCTAGATAACTACGAAGTGGAATCAAAAACAAAGCCATGTTAAGGCTGCCCTTTTCTGTCTTTAGCGCAAGGAAACCCTTAATATCACTAATTCGAAAATTAGACTCAAAATGGGTTTCGTTGTTTGTTCTCATTAGTTGCAATAAAGATCTGTCTAGCTCAAACATTGCATACTTACGTCAAGATTCCTCCTCAGTTTAACACATTGACGACTAGAATGCTTTCGTGAAAGCTAATGGAAAACTGGCTAGTTCGTGATTCCAACAGGAACAATGTTGCCTTTTCGATAAAATGAATAATTATCCAACAAAGTAGAGAAGTAGTTCACCAGGAGGTTCGATATATCGCAAGAATATAATAGTCTTTATCCATTCAGAAGTATAATTTCGCTATTATATGCTACATTTGAGAATTTTCGCCTGTCAAACACGTTGTTGAAATATGTAAATATTTCGCCTTCACGTCACATGTATTATGGAATTGGAACACAATCCAGAGTCAAAAGTCTTGACAATTTTGCAGTTTGTATGCATGGAAAAAGCAATTTTAAAGTTTGCCTACAGCTTTTGAACAATCAAAGTGCCTGAGTTTTGAATAGTTTTTCAGCTGTTTCAAATCTCTGACTCTTACGCACTAGCACTCGAGTACAATCCATTCCCCACTATCACAAAAACATGCCCAAGACAGGAATCGAACCTGTGTCGCCACGGCCACAACGTGGAGTACTAACCACTATACTACTTGGGCCGCTAACTACCCTTTGTGACAAAGTAAAAATCGTCATATTTATTGCTCATTTTTGAATACACTTTTGATACTGTTACTACCAAGTATCACACATTTTTCGATAGTCAATCTCGGTCCACAAAGTCTCCTTCTGATGCGCTGCAATTATTCGATAGTTCGACTCTCAGACGCTTCCACAGAATTTATCTCGTTCTTATTGGTTTGTTGAAAATAACCAAATGCCAAATTAGCAAGCGGTCATACTCCAAATTTCTGGTGTTATAACTGCGTTTTTCGCAGAGTTAAAATTATTCATATATTCCTAAGAGAATTGAGTGAAGAGCAAAATTACGACCTCAGGCGGGAGTTGAACCCACATTGCATCCATGCCGGGAACGCGTGCTACCACTACACCACCGAGGTACATGCGCTCCACCACTCATTCTTCAACATCTCATCATCCCAATTCTCTTAGGTGTATTATAAATATAATAATACTGCGAAAAATGCAGTAAAAACACTAGAAATTTGGGAGTACTACTTATCGCAACGGCTCTTGGCTTAACTGGATATATGGAGCGAAATCGCATACCCGAGCAAACCTATTAAAGGTTGGTGGCTAACAGCTGTCACCTGTCACCTGTCGTTCCGTTGATCGCCGAGTGACTCAAGCGGGTACCAGCAACATTTCCATTTTTCCCTATCGCGTGCAAGAGTAGCCCAGTGGGTCCTCCTCGCTCTAGGGATTCGCTGAGCATCGTATCTTTCTTCTATAGCTTGCGTGAAAAAATCGGATCAACGGGTCGGTGGCCTTTCTGTAGAGCGCTTGATATCCCGAGAAATCCAGTCGGTAATGGTTCCGATATCCTGGCGTGTAGAACGGCGTCTTTAATTTTTATTGTTGATGTAGGTCGGAACTTCGGATTTTTTCTCTCATTTGCGAGATACGGGATACTTCTAGCATCGACCTTTCGACTGCGCGTTCAATAACGCCAAGTGATCTTTCATCCTGCTTACGTAGCGACCAGGTTTCTGCTGTGTATGTCAGTGCAGGGATAATCGTCGAGTCGAGAAGGTGGACACGGAGTCGGATGTTCTTAGTCTTCTTCACTACATCTTCATGCTCTTGAACATTCCCAAAACGGCTCGTTTCATCCTGCTCGACTCTAGAGCTAGGTCGCTCATCATGTTGATTTCACGACCTAGATAGACGTAACTGGAGCATTCGGAGATTGTCGTTCCGCTGAGCGCGAATGGGGCATTTAAGACCCATCCGTTCCTCATGAACATCGTTTTCGTTAGATTTAGCTAAAAACCTATCTTTCCACAGACGTTATCGAAATCGGTCAACATTCGTCCCGCTTGGCTGATGTTTGGTTTTATGAGAACGATATCGTCAGCAAAGTGAAGATGGTTTAACTGTCGACCGTCAATTTTCACTCCCATTTCGTCCCATTCTAATGCCCGCATGACGTTTTGTAGGGTGGCAATGAACAGTTTTGGCGAAATTGTATCGCCTTGTCGAACCGCCTTCTTACGTCAATGGTGATATTGTTGTAGAATAGAGATATTTTGGTTGAGAGTTCTTTATAACGTTCACGATAGATCACTATGTACCGAGCAGGGACGCCCTGGTTATCCAGGGCCTCTATAACCGCTTCTGTTTCCTTTGAATCAAATGCTTTCAAATGGATGAAAGTGAGACAGAGTGGTTTGTTACTCTCGTGAAACTTCAATGAGTCTTGTAATGAGGCTGGCAGCTAACATAGAAAAATGTTGAAGAATAAGTGGTGGTGCCAATGTACCTCGGTGGTGTAGTGGTAGTAGCACGCTTCCCCGGTATGGACGAAACGCGGGTTCGACTCCCGTCTGAGGTCGTATTTTTGCACACTACCTAAATCTCCTAGGCATATCAAAAGTCAGCTTGTTCCGAGCTAATTGGTCCTATTTCCACATGGCATAAGTCGTCAATTGATCACAAAAAGTCCAAGAAAAAAGTTCTGTACAACAGCTCAAATCACCAAGAAGTTTGGCGCCTATAAATGCTACTATATGCTATACAATTTTCAGTCCTGGCATGGCTCATTAGTTCGCAGTTTTTTCTTGCCAAATCAAAACGCGAAGTTGCTGAAATATAATTTACTTTAACAGCTGACGGTTCGGTAGTTTTCCCTCTTTGAGAACACGGAAAGATCAGTCTTTAACCAGGTTGTCTTCATCCGGCCAGCCAAACATCTCCAATACTCCAACAGAAAAAAATCACTTAGCTTAGTTTCAAATCTCAACAAAAACAAGTGTGGAGAGCGTATGGAACTCTGCACATAAATGTGTGGAACTCGAGAGATTCGAATGCTGGTAAGGTTAGAAAGTATAAGACCATTGGTTAGTGATAAGGGTGGGGAGCACTTCTTCAAAGTTTGGCATCTTGAAGGCGACGATTCTCTCTGTAATTTTGAAGAGAACTAAGCTAAGAAATTTTTGGCCGTTCAGTTGATTGATTGCAAGAGAGTGCTAGGAGAGAGAACGAACCGGACCCTTATCTACCGTCTTGCGTCTTGACGCACCGCATCAGTGCTCACTCAACTACTCCAGTAGGCCACTCGGTCTCTGTATAAAAGAACATCAAGTCGGCAAACTCAAAACTGATTAAAACAGCCCATTGGGCTCGCATAGTATACCGACACCTAACGGGAGAATTTTGAAGTAGGAGTCACCATCCTCGCGCAGGATTTTAGAATCTCATTGCATGAAATTACTAATCATTCTAGATGAATTGGATGAATCCAAACATGAACGGAGGAAGGAATGCCTCGTTATCACGTTTGATTTGACGCAGTACAGAAGGTTGTTAGCTTGTTGACAGAGGTGGACTGCTGCCTATGTGAACTCTCCACGATTGTCTCCATCTGACAACTCAGTGGAAGACTCATAAAAAAAATCAGGATGAATATGTCGAAAAGTTGCTTTGTTCTTGATACGATTCAAATCTAAGCTTGGTGATTTTTTCTGCTAGAGTAATGGAGGCGTGCCGACCGGATCAAAGACAACTCGAATTTTTGCAGGTTCTGGAGTAGAGGAAAGTGCCGAAACGTCGAATATTTAAATAAATTGTATCATAGCAACCAGCGCTTCAAATTAGCAAGAAAAAACTGCAAACTATCAACAATGATGAGATTGGAAATTCTTTAACACATAGGAATAAGATCAGTACACTTGCCTGTCACATTGCTGCTTGGTGGTTTATTATTGCTGCACAATGCTTATTTATGGTCTTTTTTGTAAACAATCGACGACTGATGAGATTGAAACCCGTTAGCTCGGGACAAACTGACTCTTTCATAATAATTTACCACTTGCCTATTGGTGACAAAGTACGAAATAAAGTTTTGAAAGCGTTCGCATGAGTTGAAATTGATCAATTGTGACACCTCTCAGAAGACTTCGCAGACCGAAATTGTGAGATTTCGTAGTGACAATATCGATAAGGAATTCAAAATTGAACAATAACTATTGACGACTTCTATCATGTAGCAGAGCTATGTTATCGGCCCAAGTAGTATAGTGGTTAGTACTCCACGTTGTGGCCGTGGCGACACAGGTTCGATTCCTGTCTTGGGCATTCTTTTGTGACAGTTGGGAATGGAACAATAGAAAGTGTTGATCCATAAGAGTTCCAAAATCAATTCAAGTAAAGATTTTTCAAAATGCAAGCATTGTGAGTTTTCATCTTCTTCGCATTTCTCGAGTTTTCCCATCGTTTCGATGTCACACTCTATGAACACAACACAGCTAATGCTGCTCCATTTGTAAAGTTAGCGGTAGGCTTTTCTGAAAAATAAATTTCTAGCTCTCTTTCCTTGGATTTCTGCTTGGATTAGAGAATATTAGCCGAATATTGCTGAATCGAGGAAAATTTTCTGAACTTCTTCGATAAATTCAAATTTTATGCTGGTTCCACACACTATCGTTTGTTGTAATTTCATGGGAAAACCTGAGAAATATTTCCACAAGAAATTCTACACGTTTACGATGCGTTGAAGGAAAAGGACCCGACAATGATTCGTCAGAAGCGAGCGCCTTTTCAACAAGACAGTGCGAAACCTCAAACCGCAAAGAAAACTAAGGGAATGTTTGACGAATTGGAGGGAATCGAGGTCTTACCAGATGCTGCGCCGTCCGATTATGGTCCTGTTCTGCTCAATGGAACATTTCCTGCTTGAGCGCCGATTCGAAGTCCTGGCCCACGCTATCGATCAAAGGTCAAGAATGCCGTTCCACACGCCGGGCTATCAAAGATAAGGTCGGCAGGAAACGTAATGCGTTTACGACAACCGAAGGACGAGAGCCGTTACTGACTGGATTCCTCGGGACCCTAAGCGCTCCACAGAAAGACCACCGACCTGATGGTCCGATTTCTTCACGAAAGGCCTAGAAAAAAAGGTGTGATGCTCAGAGAATCCCTAGACCGAGGACGACCCACTGGGCTACTAATGCACGCAACAGGGGAAAATGGAAGTATTCCCGGTGCCGGCTTGAGTCTCTCGACAGTCTACAGGACGACAGGTGATAAGCCGATTCGAGACTTTTGATCAAGTTGAACGGGCATGTCAGGAGCTTTTCGATTCAATGCCCAAGGAATGGTATTTGAAGCAAGTTCGGAAGCTTATAGATCGTTGGCAGAAGATCGTGGATAATGATGTTAAGTCAGCTCTCTTTGATAGACCACTGACATGCGTGGCTCAAATAATGATTATCAGGTATATTGAAATTTGAGCAGTGGTCTTAAGAAAACACTCAAAACGAAAGATATGATATAGTGAATATACTAGCCTAGAGCAATCGAGTGTACAACACTCTGTGTTCGGTGAGAATTTCATTGGACATAGAGTGTAAAACGTTCGTCGTCGTTAACTCTTAGTGTGGGGACTGGAGCTCCCACAGAGATTAGCAAAAGACGAGAAAGGGTAACTGCCCTGCTGACGAGATCGCAAGATCGAAACACGTGTATCGGATTCTATAAGTCAGCCCTCTTTGATAGACCACTGACATGCATGGCTCAAATAATGATTATCGGCATATTGAAATGATGGTCTTAATTTTGAAAAATAATTATTGTTGTTTTCAATTGATTTTATGTATAAAATTAGAATTGTCAGCAAGTATCAGGGAACATTTTCCTTAACCTTATAAAATATCATATGTGCTAAGACGCCTAGGCTCCAGCGATGACGAAGTCGTCAAAACGTCAGCTATCGTATTTGATCAAGAATAAAGTTGATCACACGTTTGCTTAAGAAAAGTGGAGTTCACAAGAAGCTATTGATTATTTATGCCGATGTTAAATGAAGATCGGGGTACAGTTTCATTATTGGAAATTTCAACTCTTTGATGATTGAGCTCTTTCGTTTTCTTTTTTTGAAAAT